TGGCTGGGGTTACTCTCCCCGGAGACGGGGGATCAGCCTTTCCGGAGCGTGCCTGGCCCGCTGCCTGCCTCCTTGGCGTTTCCTTGTTCTGCTCCAGGAGCCTCTGATAAATGTCTGGTTCTCGCAGCCCCAGGAGGCCGCACTGAGGCGCAGGAGAGGCTGAGAAAGGAGGGGTCCTTCTGGTGCAGTTGTGGATGCCTGATCTCCCTGAATCTGGGGTCCAACTGCTACGCTAGTTATGGGAAACCCCAAGCAGCTTCCCTCTGGGAACGATTCCCACTGCGCTCTCCCTTCCTCACCCCTATCTCACTCACACCAGCCTCAGTGGGGGCAGACCAGCCCAGCACCGAGGGAGGAGAGGCTCAGCCTGGAACCCTGTCCCCAGAGCAGCGAGGTCTGGGGAACAGGGAATGTGGGCTGGGGGACAGCAGCAGCATGGACTCCGGATGTGCCAGGTAGTTGCTGAGCCGCTGCCCTGTGCCAGGTACCGGGGTCCGCCCATGAACGGGAATGGAGCTCACAGTGCTCTCTCTCTTCTTGTGGAAATTTGGGCTAGGCAGAGTAGCAGCCTGAAAAGCAGCTACATTCTCCGTCCGCCCATGAACAGGAATGGAGCTCACAGTGTTCTCGCTCTCTTCTTGTGGAAATTTGGGGTAGGCAGAGTAGCAGCCTGAAAAGCAGCTACATTCTCCTTTTCTGCAGAAGCATCTGTTTAAATACTTTCCGCCTCAAAGGAAAGAACGTCAGTGCATTCCAGGGCGGGAGGTCTCCTTGGGTCAGGCTGGCAGTGTATGCACAGAGCGTGTGCGTGTGCGTGTGTGTGTGTTTGTGTGTGTGTGCTCATGTGTGCGTGCTCACTCACCACCTGCCCATCTGCCAGGTGTCCCTGTGAGCCTCTGCAGCCCGGCCCAGCCCAGGCTTGCAGAGGCAGAGCAGAGTCAGTTTAGCAGTGACTTCTGCAAACTCACTTGAGGTTAAGATGTGGGGCCTGGGGACTCTGTGGCTGATTGACAGGCCCTGAGCCCTTCCCATGTTCTTTGGTCTCAGAGGAGATGGGAACAGAGCTGGGGAGGAGAGGACAGGGAAGCAGGAGGCTAAGATATAGGCCGGTTGGGATTGTGTGACCTGGGATCTCCTGGCTGAGAGCTGCCTCCTGCCCTAGACTCCTCTATGGGCCTTTGAGGAAGGGTCCAGGTCAGGCCATGTAGCAGGAACCCAGCTTTTGCTCACCCCTTGGCCTCTCCGCCGCGGGATTTCTGGCTCTTGGATGAAGACAAGAGTCTAAGAGGGAGAGGCATCCCCTCAGCACACCCCCTGCCACTGAGCACCCTGGGGATCCACCCTGGGAATGCAGGCGTTGTGACGGAAGGAGGGACCTTTGCTGAGGAGACCATGTTCTAAAAACACTTGAGTGGCTTTTGCCACGTCACTTAGTCAGCCTGGGTCTCAGTTTCCTCATCTATAAAATGGGGCAGCAATCCATATCTATCTTGCCAAGTTGTTTGAGGCTAAGGCGAAATAATCCACGTGGAAGTACTTTGAGAGAGGGTGTGGCTGATGTTAAAGTTAGTTATCAACAATAACACATATACAGAAGAATCCACGAATCGTAAGTGACGTTTCACCAGCAGCCAGATCAAGACACATCAAAGGAACCCGAAAGCCCCCTCAGGCCCCTTTCTGGCCTTCCCCACCCGCACGGAGGTCACACTGCTCTGACTTCTCTCACGGCGATTTGCTTTGCTTGTTTCTGAACCGTACTTGGGCGGATAATGCTGCTCTCAACATTCTTTTGGGGACTTGTGCTTTCTTGTCTGTTGAGGAAGTTGGAATTGTAGGGTCAGGGGCAGCCATGCGTTTAGCTTCGGTACCTAAAGCCAGACTGGTTTTTGCAAAGTGCTGGTTGTAACAATTTACATATCCACCAGCAACGCAGAGTTCTCTTACTACACATCCTCGCCCACACCTGATTATGTGTAAATGTTATTCAAGTTCAAGGAAGAGCTGCTAATATTTCTTTCTTTCTTCTCTCTGATACAGATCTTGGAAAGGACTTTGGAACCCGATAGCTCCGATGAAGAGCCCCCACCAGTGTACTCTCCACCAGCCTACCACATGCACATGTTCGACAGGCCTTACCCTCTGGCTCCGCCCACTCCACCTCCCCGGTAAGAATGCAGCTCCTGTCCCAGCACAGGGCAGTGGGGAAGGGACCGGGGGTTGGGACTAAGTACAAACACAGTGGGAATCTTGGCTAGACCCCTCAGCAAGAACAGGCTTCTTTGCAGCAAGATACATTTTCGCTAGATACCAAGAAGAACTTTCAAGAGCAAACATTCACTGAGTTCCTACTCTAGGCTAGTGCTATGCCGGACACCGGACGGGACAGAGTCAGGGCTCAGCCTCTGCTTTCTGAGAGCCGATGGTCGATGGAGATGCAGAGCGGGAATGACAAACACATGGAATGTGTACTGACACTTCCCCTCTCCAGCCTGTGGCAAAGGTTACTGATTGATCACTGTGCTGGTTCCTGCTCAGTTGAGACAGAACCTCAGAATCCTCCTCACCATAGTACTCCCAGACGGCCACCAGTAGTTGATGGGATGATATGTGTTTGCCATCCCTGGTCTAGGGATGTTGTGGGGGATTTAAAAAGTAATGGGAGCAAGTAAGTCTCTTTTTCTAGGATAGTTCAATAACTGGAGGCGGGGTGTGTGTGTGTGGGGGGGGGG